GCTTATGTTTGTGATTGAATTAAAATTTTAAAAAATTATTGGAAAGGCAGATTTATAGAGAAGGGGAGACAGAGAGAATGATCTGTCTGTTGGTTTACTCCCCAAGTGTCCACAATGGTTAATCTGAACTGATCTGAAGTCAGGTACTTCTTCTGGGTCTCCCATGTGGGTTCAGGGACAAAAGGCTTTGAGCCATCCTCATTGTTTTCCCAGGCCACAAGTAGGAAGCTGGATGAGAAACTGAGCACCCAAGACACAAACCGGCACCCATATGAGAGCTCATTCATAAAGGATTGGTGGGACCTGCAATTCTATGGCTGGATTCACCCCCCTTCCCCCCGACCACCTGACCACTGGTAGAGCTCTGTTGTTTCTGGTGTATCTGTTCCATGCGGCACTGCTGCACTGTCTCTGCTGCTTCCCCATGTCCATGGGTCTCCAGGTGTCTTCTCCCATTGACCTCTCTTCTATATCCCAGGATGGTACCTTCTCTGCTTCTCCTTAATAATCCTTCTCTGTTGGTTTCAATATGTCTTCACTCTATTCTGCCATTTTGATCACTCCTTGGTGCTGTTTCAACTTTTTGCAGTACTATGTTTTCCTACCTTGCTCCTATAATAGAATATTTCTGTTGTTAAAAACAATCTACAAAGTTAAAATATGAGTGAGCATATAATTTAGAGTCATGAAAAATACAGATAATTATATTCTCCTATAGTTAGTGTGTAGCCTTTCTGTTCCTTTATCTTTTTGGAAAATGAGTTACAATTTACAAGTTATGGACAAAGGTTCTATAAGTGTACAGTTTGAGCTTACTATTAATTTGTGTAAAAATATTTGAGATACAAAACATTTCTATCACTCTTTAGTGGATTGACTGGTTTCTCTCCCAAATTCATGTCCATTTGGAATGTTGGAATGTGACTATCTCTGGAAATAGAGATCATGTGGGAATAAAATGGGCTCTGAAGCCAAATAGAAAATATTTTTAAGAAATTGAAAAAGGGATACATGATAGGGAGACCACGAGTGTATTTTGTGCTGCCATAAACCAAGGAATGCCTGGGGCCCTCAAAGCTGGAAGAAGCTAGAAAAGAAACAAGGTCCTACTGTTTTTAGTTCTAGTCTCCAGGATTGAGGGAGTAAACGCTTCTCATTTAACTCTTTAAACTGTGGCTATTTGTCATGGCAGTGTAGATATTATAACCTTCCCAGAATTCCATGGTTTCCTTTCTAGTTGGTCCTCAAAGGCATGCATTCCTCCACATTATCTTTACCTGTCTTTATTTTAGTATAAATGAAATCATATTGAGCAGTTTATGTGTAGTGTATGTGTCTGAATTTTTTTGATAGAATTCTGTGAGTGCATGGATTTTATTATGTGGTGTACATCTTCCATATTAATCCTACCTTTTAAAAATATATTTATGGTTTACCATGATGCAATTTTGTAGTTATAGAGGGTCTTCCTTCTCTTCTCCTTTCTCCCTCTTCATTTTTGCTTCCTGTTATTATTCCCCAAATTATCACAGTAGTATAATCCCTTAGTAAAAATGGCAAGATTAACTTTTTGCTATTTAAATGTAGATGTAGTAGGTTAAGCACAATTTTACAGATACATCAAAATCTGTCCATTTTGATCATAGGCATATTTTTAAAAATTTTTTTCTCATTTGGTATATCACATCTATTGTAGCTTTACTGTTTGGAACCTGTATGGTCTATCACCATTTTTTTTCAGTCAATATCTGAAAATAATAGCAAGTATATTGGACTTTTTCAATAATTATGCAGAATGCCTTCATGTTCAAATGTTGGCTTTCCCTAAAAGTCATACATATTATTGCTTTTGATTACAAATCATTTGTTTGAAAATTTTTTAAATGTTATTTTAAAAACTTGACACTTTCATGGACATTCCCACCTATTTCTCAGTTGGTGTGTTTACTATTGCTGTTGCATACTGTCAACTGAATTCTATCTTCATTTCTTCAATGTATACAATTTATTCTTTGAGTAAAATTTTTATTAATCAATGTGTTACTTTAGCTGAAAATATATTTTGCTTTTTCTAATTCCTAAGCTATTACACCTATATAGAATTATAGTTGGTAGTCATTACTCTTCATATATTCATTAGCATACATCATGCTACCTGATATTTACTGTTCTACTAAGATGTCTGCTGCCAAATCTTTATTCATTTGTAATCTGCTGTTCTCTGATTTGACTTTATTCTTTTTTTTTTTTATTGTTGTTAACATTGTATTATGTGATACAGTTTTATAGGCACTGGGGATTCCCCCCACCCCTCCATACCCCTCCCCCCATGGTGGATTCCTCCACCTTGATGCATAACCACAGTTCAAGTTCAGTTGAGATTCGTTCCTTGCAAACACATATCTAGCATAAAGTCCAGCGTCTTATTGTCCAGATAAGTTCAGTGGCCTCTTGGGGAGACCTTCTCTAGTCTGAAGATAGGGCTAACAGAGTAAAGATCCAGTCAGTTAAAAGCCCCAACAAAACCTCAGTATCAATATACAACATTATGGAATTAATTGACATAGTATTGGGTAAACAATATGTTAAAAATAATGCAAGTTCCATTCTTCGAAACATCTGGGTTGAGACAGTATCAATGACAGGTTCAAAAAATAACCAACAACCAAACAAAAATTACAAGTTAAATCAAGGCAAACATGTGGTATCTAATCTTTTGGGATTCGCTCATTTCCCTTAGCATTATAGTTTCCAGTTGGGCCCATTTAGCCACAAAGAACTGCAGACTTTATTCTTTACTACAGATATGTTGCTTAGCTGTGGACTTGATTTCTAAATCTGCCCAGGTCTTCCAATTTTTTTTCCAAGAACGAGTGTCTCTTAATTCTTAAGTCAGCCATGATCTCTTGGAATAGTATGTCTTATTTATTCTTTCTGTCTTTAACTTCTACAGTAGTTACTACTCATGCCTTACTATTCATTTTTTTTCCTTACATGCTGTTTGTCATATCTTGTTTGATGCTGCAGTTGCTTTTTAAAATTGTATTAATATAAAGAAAACAGATTTATGTATTTCATTGACACAGTTCCAAGAGAATAACTATACTTCCCTCCCTCCTGCTATCCCTCCTTCAATCCCCATCCTTGTTTTCTTTCTTCAATTTTTGCAGACATTAAATTATTGTAGAATTGAATCAATTCTGTAATTACAAGTTTAATACACCACTAACCATACTACTCAGCAAGTGAAAAGTGGTAAGATTACAATTCCTCAGTAGAATTAACAAGGGCTAAAAAAATAATCATATCAAAAGATGTCCATTTCGTTCCTATATATTGTTTCTATTCTATATTAAATGTCATTTATCTAAGAAAGCATTTGTCTCTTTGGTACCACTTTATTTCTTTTGCTAAACATCATGATTTTCAATTCCATCGTGTTGCAGAAGACAGGATTTTATTGTTATGGCTGAATAGCATTTCATGGTGTGTACATACCAAATTTTCTTTATTCAGTCATCAGTTGGTGGGCATCTGGGTTGATTCCCCTCTTAGGTACCATGCTTTGGTCTGCAGTTAGCATGAAGGTGTAGACAATTCTTTCCTTTGCTAATTTTATTTCATTTGGGTGAATACAAAGGAGTGTGATGGCTGGGTCATATGGTAGCTCTTTGCTCAGATTTGTGAGGAATAACGGTACCGTATTCCCTGTCATCTGTAATGATGGCACTGGTTTATATTCCCACCAACAGTGGATCATGGTGCAGTTTTCTCCCATCCTTTTCAGTAGATTGCTTCTTGAGTTTTGGGGATATCACTCTAACTACAGTGTAGTAAAATCTTATTGCAATTTTAATTTCCCTGATGACTAGTGATCTTGTGTGCTTTTTAAAAATGTGCCTGTTAATGCTGTAGTTTTGAAAACCATTCTGATTTTGTCATTCTTTTCTGATCTACAACTCATTCATTTTTGTTCAGTTTATAAATTTTTATGTAATTCTCATGTCTACATTATTTTATTCTCCACAAGGTTTCCAGTTTTAATCTGCTCAGATTCTCATTTAAAAGGCTCTTCTAGAATATTCAGATATTCCTGATTCTTGGATATGCATTTTCTTTCTTATTGCTATTTATGACTTCGGTTCACAGTTCATATAATTTATTCATCTTGAGGTTAAAGTAGTTTTTCCTTGGAACTCCCAGGTTGCAGATTATAGAAAACTTTCAGGGGGCAATTTTATGTATTATTTTTCTTTGCAAATTGTTGTGGATCTGGATAATTTCCTACATGAACTTCTTAATTTGAGGGCCTAAGCAGGGGTGGCAAATCTTTATTTTTCCAATGTCCATTTGGATATTTACAATATCATTTTCAGGCTATACAGAATCCTCAGCTCAAGATGTGACTATAGACGAATTTTGAGTCCTTCCTGTGGTTGCCTTGGCAATTCCAGACCACATGGTTTTGTGGACCCTGTATGGGCCTTCAGTGATCCCTAATTGCAGCCTGCATCCCTCCCTTGGATGTCATGTAGACCTAGGGTTTTTTGGGTTTCATGGATTGCTTTCTTTCCCCTTGCTCAGGCCTTCTGTGCCATCATTCCAGGGTTGGATCATGTTATCTAGCCAGTTCCAATGGGACTGGTAGTACTTGCCGTGAAGAAGTCACAGATCTCATGACATCCATAGGGAGATAAGTGTACTCCCTCCCTGCGCCTGTCTTCTTCACCTGGATTCTTGATTCAGGCTGAAGCTGTCTCTCTTGCTGGCCTCGTATCCCTGTGAGTGATTCCATCTCAACTTGGCATCTATATTTATTCTTTGTAAGCTTAGTTTTACTTTAATATTTTAACCTTTTCTTATATGTGAGGGGTGGGAGTGGTATTTGCTTAGTATTTCTGTGTGAGCAGAACATGACAGGAGACATTTGTCCTTTCATCATGGTCTTTTGATCAGAATGTCTAAATACATTTTTTTGTTGTTTTTTCTTTTGCAGCTAGTTATGTATCAAATCCCATTTGCAAAGGTTGCTTGTCTTGTTCAAAGGACAATGGGTGCAGTCGATGCCAACAGAAATTGTTTTTCTTCCTTCGAAGAGAAGGGATGCGTCAGTATGGAGAGTGCCTGCATTCCTGCCCATCGGGCTACTACGGACACCGAGCCCCTGATATGAACAGATGTGCAAGTGAGCATTTGACTTTTGCCTTATTTTCCTGGAAGTGCAGTTTGGAGGGTGAGCTTAGTTGAAAATGTTGATTGTAAAAGATGTATTTGTAAAAAGGTGATGTAAGTCTGAGCTCAGGCTTGCACAAAAAAAAATCAGTGGGGTGGTATCAGATCACGTTGACTTTACACTTCTGAGAGTACAACACACAAACACAGAGACTTTAATTCGTACCTACTTTATCACAAGCTTGTTAGGTAATTATCATAAAGAGTACTTAGTATTTGCAAAACTGAAACTAAAATCAAATCACAGACTTAAATAGTTTCTACTAAAAACTATGGAGAATTTAACATACTTTTTAAAACTTCTTTCTTCTTTTACCTGAGCCTTTCTAATACCTTGGCTTTAACGTAACTTGTAATTAAGCACATGCATTTAGATCTTTGAAGCACTGTTACTGGTGAAGATATGAGTAGAAAACTTACTTCATACTAAGTCCTGGGTTTAATGATGATAAAAAGATGATTAAGGAGTGGCATCCTGTGTCTAGAAGTGAAGGTACAACTTTTCATTTTTAATGTAAAAATTACTAATACAATGATTTTCAAAAGTAGAATCTGAAGTTGTGAAAAAATATGAAATTGATACCAAAGCAATATGCCTTATGGATTACCACACAGCAAGCAGTTTCATCATAATTTGTTAAGTGCTACGTCAGCGGGCATTAAATCTCCTGATGATGATTTTCTCTCCCCCTAGCACATCATGTGTATGACAGTTCATCCCAGGTAACTTGAGATAGATAATGAAGGAGTTTAAATAACATCTTCTACAGACAGCAATAGTTTGGAAAGAGGTATATCTACTGGGGAGTATTGCAATAATTTTTGGAATAAAGGAACACACATAAACCTGTTTTCTGGGTAGCAGGCTGACTGGATGGTGTATTTACCCAAATGTGGATGTGGAAAGAACAGGAGGCTGCTTTCAACTACCCGAGGAGATTCAGTGCAAACCAGAAATACCCTGGGCAGACTGGATGGTCACCCCAGCAGTGAGGTTGTAATGTATTGACACCGTCTTCTTTAGATGACTCCCAAAACAGGAGTTAACCAACACATTTGGGCCAAGTTTGGAGTCTGGGCCTAGAGGAAGTTGTGACTTTTCTAGTACAGGTGCGAGGTGCTCATTAGCAAGGCTTTGTGAAGCAAAATGAGAAATATGCTTGTCTTAGCATGTGACTTTAAGTGACCGTGATTCTTCCAGAGTAATTTTTTTGCCTTTTTTCATGGATAGTGCATCTGTTTTTTGCTGATATTTGTATTCCATTGCAACAATGAGAAAGATTTAAACAGGAACGTTCTGCTATCAGCAACAGTAACTAACGTCTTAAAAGTGAAACTTACTCCTTTGTTTCAGAATCATCCATGTAAAAGCCCAAGTGTAAAGTGATACATTTCTTTGAAAGGAATACCTGGTCTGTGAGAAGTTGACTAGGGCTGGCTTCTTGGTTCCTGTAGTAAGAAACATAAAATTCAAATATGATCACAAAAACCAGTTAATTTACTAACAAACACTAGAAGCCACCATTGTGTCTGATACTATAGTAGGTAATACTAGTTTTATGCTTTCTTACTTATTGCCAAAATAACTTATGTAAGAGCTTTATATTTAAAATCATTATACATGTTTCTTATAGAAGGGTCATAAAATACAAAGACCTTCAAAAAAGCAAAACCAAAACAAACAAATGAATTAGTAACCAAAGATATTAAAACTCAACATTTTGACTTCATGAAGATTTTTGTCTTTGGTGGCTTCTAGTGTTTTAACTATTCTGCTTTGTAATTTGTTTAGTTTGATTAATTTTGAACATTTTTTCATTTTATTGTATACCTGTGTGTAGTCTATGAATTGATTCTTGGTTAGTGAACTTCAGAAAATTTTAGTTTTTCACAAGTGTAAGCAGTTTTATGAAAAATATTAAGTAAAAAACTCTCATTTTCAAATACACAAATTTTTACAGTTTTGTGATTTATAAGATAAACTTGTATTTTTAGAAAAGAGATTTTTGTTTACTTGAAAGTCAGTTACAGAGAGAGGGAAAGTACACACAAAGAAATATTCCATCTGCTGGTTCATTCCCTGGCTGGCTGCAGTGGTCAGTGCTGGTCAGATTGAACTTAGGCCTCCCACCTAGGGGCAGGGCCCCAAACACTTGAGCCATCTTTTACAGTTTTGTTATAAGGCTGTTTATAGGGAACTGGATCAGAAACAGAACCACCAAGGCACAAACTGGTACTATGGGGTGCCAGCTGACAGCTTTACCCACTGTGCCAACTTGCTGGCATGATAGAGGAACTTTCAGACATAGAATAAGTCCATTACAAAACTTTTGACATAGATCACCAAATTCCCTGCTGCAAAAGCATGCCAGTTCACCTCTTGATTGATAGAGGTTTTCCTTGCTGAATAAGAATGATAAAAATTGTTTTAAAAATTGTTTTAAAATTGTTTGTTTTCTTCAACCTGATTTTCTTTGGTACAAACTGAAGTGGAACATTTACTTTTCACATAGATATTGGCATTGTGAGATGTTTGCTAGAATTTCTACTCCTGCTTTCCTTGTGTAACTGTCTTTTTCTTGGTCACAAAAAATCCTTCAAATGCAATGGGTTTGGCCTCTTATAAGCTCAAGTTCTGTTTCTGTGTGTTGAATGGACCACTGTTCACAAATATTTAAGCATCTGGCATGGTGACATAGTGGGTAAAGCTGCTGACCATAATGCTTGCATTCCATAGGGGTTCTGTTTTGTGTTCTGGCGGCTGCGCTTCAATCCAGATCTTTACTAATGGCAAGGGAAAAGGGAAAAGGAACCCAAGTTGGCCCAAGTGCTCCGGCCTGTGCCACGGATCCAGGAAAAATACAGGAGTAAAAGGCTTCTGGCTTCAGCCTGGCCATTGCTGGCTGTTGTAGCTATCTGACAAGGGACCCAGCAGATGCAAGCTCTCTGGCTCTCTGTAACTTTGGCTTTTCAATAAATAAATAAATATTTAAAAAAAATAAAAAGCATTCCCACTGTACTGAGCACACATGTATTTTTCCTTGACTACTGTTAAATAATAACAACAACCATTTACATATCTTTTGCATTGTATTAGGTAATGTAGAAGGATTTAAAGTATGCAGGAGGATGTGCAGGTATTGTATGCAAATGCTGCTCCATTGAAAATGGGTAGTTCAACATTTATAGATTTTTTTGACTCTTAGGGGAGCCCTGGAGCCAATCCGCTGTGGATACTGAGGGATTATTGTGTCACTGGATTACTGACTAAAAATAATCAGTGAAGAGTTTATTACTTTTAGAAAGTGGATACACTATGTAACCACCACTGTTATTACTAGCTGAAAATTGGAAACAACCCAAATATTCAAATAAGAGACGATTTAAGACATTATGTTTTCATAACAAAATATAGAAGTAGAAATAAATATGCTAGGATATTGTGCAGTTTTATAGCTGTAAATCTAACATAATATTGAATGACAGGAACAAAAAATAATAAATAGAGTTAGATCAGCTTCTTTTTTTTTTAAAGATTTATTTACTTGAAAAACAGAGTTAGGGAGAGATGGATATATATAGAGAGAAGTCTTCCATCAACTGGTTCACTCTTCAAGTGGTCACAATGTCCTGGGGCTGGGTCACACCGGAGCCAGGAGCTTATCTCGGTCTCCCACATGTACTTGGGCCGTTTCCAGTGTCTTCCCAGGTTAGTTAGGGAGCTGGATCAGAACTAGGATCGCTGGAGTTGAACTGAGGCCTCATCTAGAATGATGGCATTACAGGTGTGACTTTACTTGCTGTGGCACAATACTACCCCCAAAGATCAATTTCAAAAACAGACAAAATGAATCATTAAATACCTACTATATAGTGTAGGTATATTAGGTACAATAATGAGTAATAATTATTTGAATTAAAAATGGTTTCTCACGGTGATCCTCAGTCAGTAGTGACTTAGGAGACATTTTTTGATATTAAAAGTCAAAGGCATTATTGGTATCTAAATGCTTGTAGATGTTACTAAACGCACATGAACATTGCTTTGCAACAAAATTATCCACATCAAGATGTTACTAGTGTCCATGCCAAAGAAATTCTTGTCCAATGGGGAAAATAGAACTAATTCAATATAGCTGAGAATGGTCCGAAAGTTAATGCAAAATCCATACTTGTAAGAAACTGCACAGTGTTAAAAGAATTGCACCAAAATAAACATCTTTAATGTGCATTTTCCTTTAACTTTAAATGTGACACTGGTTGAAATATAGGCTTCTGTTCTCATCCAACTACTCTATCAGATGCACTCTGTTAGTTTTAAAATCAAGTATATAGAGTAGGTTATGTATTCCTATTTTTTCAGGGAAGTCATCTAAACCGGGTATAACAGAAAAACTGTAGATGATAGTAAAGAAGGCAGTGATATTTATGAAAACACTGAGTGATTTTTATGAAAGCAGAGTGCTCTTAGAATTAGTAGGATTAAGAATTGTTAGTGGAAGAAAAGCATGAAACCATGCAGACACAAAACATCATCTAGGGTACTGGTGCCATGGTATATAAGATTAAGCTGTTACTTGCAAGTCCAGAATCCCATTTGCGTACCAGTTAATGTCTCAACTGCTCCATGTTTGACCTGTTCCCTGGTAATGGCCTGGGAAAAGCCCTGGAAAATGGCCCAAATGGGCTCCTGCTATCCATGTGAAACATAAGTAAGAAGCACTTGGTTTTAGCCTTGCCCAGCCATGGCCATTGCAGCCATTTGGAAAGTAAACCATTGGGTCGAAGATCAGTCTGGCTGTTTCCCTCCCGGCCTGCCCCACACCCCATGTTCTTGATAACTCTGTCTTTTTAATTCCCAATGGAAGGAGGAAGGGAGTATCAGTATATTCCTAGGATTGTATCTATGGACTATATTTAGTTAGTTAAAACCTAGTAAGAAATTAGTATAAA